ACTCCTTTGCATGTTAGGCCACACACACCTACTGTAGTCAATCCTAATGAGTAATCCCGCCTGGGTGCGGCCAACTCAGGAGCCAGCCGGAACTCCGTTCCTGTGCGTTCCTGCCCCAAAATAGCCCTGGCTACAGGGAATAAGCGGAAGAAACCCACATTGCACAAGGGTTTTCTGACCTGGTTGCTTTGTTTTTTTCCTGGGACAACAAGTTTATGCAAGTCCTTCCTGTGGTCTTCTTTCTGGAAGTTCTCCTGTTTATTTAGCATGATGCACACAGTTTTCTCCACTCATGGGAACCCTGCAAGGGAAGGCGCTGTTGGCCTAGCTGTGTGCTGGAAAGTGCGACCAAGCGTGCCTCGCTCTAAGTCAGACAGTGGACTGAAGGGGGGGGGGATGGGGAGGCTTACTGCTGTTATCTCTCGACTGGTGCATATGTGAGATAACTCAGAGTTGTTGCCCCCTGAACCACTTTGTCAAACTCAAAGTAAGATTTGGGGAAAAGATTGTTTCTAGTCCGTCAATATGTACTTATGGCAGAGGGAGATAGTGAATCCAGGTGGTACAAATGGTTAGATAGCGTGAAGATGTGATCTTGTGTATGTTGTACTAGTTCTTTATCGTATCCTTCCACAGACACTTCGTGCCTTTGCGCCAGCTTTTTCAGGCTCTCGTTTTGAGTAACACAGTCCCTCCCCCCCCCCTTCTGCTTTCTCCAGTTCTCTGGCATTATCCTCCTGGCGGTTGGCATCTGGGGGAAAGTGAGCCTGGAGGTGTATTTCTCCCTGTTAGATGAGAAGGCTACCAACGTTCCCTACATCCTGATCGGGGCAAGCGGCGTTGTCATCCTCCTGGGCACCTTTGGTTGCTTTGCCACCTGCCGGGGAAGCACATGGATGCTGAAATTGGTAAGGGGTCATCATGGGCTGAAAGGCGCTCAGGGATCCTCTGCCCCCTCCAAACTCAGTCCGCCGGCAGCTGCCTGCCCTGCTCTCCCTTTTGGTGTAGTGGTTAAGTGCGTGGACTCTAATCTGGGAGAACCTGGTTTGATTCCCCACTCCTCCACTTGCACCTGGCTGGATGACCTTGGGTCAGTCACAAGCTCTGGCACAGCTGTCCTTGAAAAAGGGCAGTTTGTGTCAGAGTTCTCTCAGCCCCACCCACCTCACAGGGTGCCTGTTGTGGGGAGGGGAAGGGAAAGGAGTTTGTAAGCCGCTCTGAGACTCCAAGTGAAGGGCGGGGTATAAATCCAACCTCCTCTTCCTCCTCTTCCTCCTCTTCCTACTCTTCCTCCTCTTCCTCCTCTTCCTCCTCTTCCTCCTCTTCCTCCTCGTCCTCCTCGTCCTCCTCTTCGTCTTCCTCTTCGTCTTCCTCTTCCTCTTCTTTCTGTGCCTGGTCCAACTTCCCGAGTTTTGAAGAGGCTGGAGGTATTTTGTAACTGGCTCTTATGCAGAGATGTAGAATTTCTGGGAATTTTGAAGCTGTGGAAGAAAAACCCTCTCTCACTCCTGGGAACATCGGGCATCTTGGGAAAAACTGAAATGTATGCAGTGCTTACCAGGGCTTCTTTGTAGAAAAAGCCCAGCAGGAACTCATTAGCATAATAGGCCACACCCAACAACAGAATCTCATTAGCATATTAGGTCACACTCTGACAGTGCAGCTCATTAGCATATTAGGCCACACTCCCATGCCTTCCCTTGGCTTGCCCGTGCAAGCCGGCCCTTGGACAGGCCGGGGAACGCATTTAAATGCCTCCCCGATCCTTCCAGGGGCCCCCTGGTCCACCTGCCTTGGAATCGCCGGGGTGGGTCGCTCTCCATGCCTTCCCTCTGTAGCCATGCACGCAGATGTTTTGGCTGTAGTGGGTGTGGCCAACTCTGAAGCCAGCCCGAACTCAGTTTCTGTGCGTTCCTGCCCAAAAATAGCCCTGGTGCTTACTATCCTATTGAACTGAAATTATTTTGCAACCTTAACAACATGTAATGCATCATTTAAAAGTATTTTAAAAGTATAACTGTCATAAGTGTCTACAAGCAAAATTATAACTAGCTATTTGAGAGAATGCTGCAAACTGCTAATACCTTGGCACACGTGTCTTAATTTTTTCCATCTTAGAGGTAGGAAAAAATAGAAATAGAAAAGTAGGAAACAAATTTTGTAGTAAACAAGTGTGTATTGTTTGGACAGGAACACTCTCATACAGTCATAATACCCGCCTTGGCTATGAAGTTAGCGATGTTGAAAACACTGGTCTTTAATAACACATTATCAGAGACATTATCAGAGTCATTACGGCGTATTAATGGTTGCAAAAATGTTCACATTGAAACAATATGATTCCATGGATGTTATCATTTCAATAAGAGCTCCATCTGAACACTGGCCAGCTCCCATGATCTATTGCATGTGCCAGTATGCTGGGCGAGCAAACACACATAAGCTGTGTCATATCTGGGGCAGAGAGTTCCTCTGTACGTATTTTACCAAAAGGATATGGCACATTTATCCTGAGCAAGTTTTTTTTCTTGTTTAGATATAAAGAGCCTGTTCATGGTCATTTATAGTCCATGCTTCTTCCAAAGACTCACGGTGATATGGTTTTTTAAAAAAATAAGCATAGATAAGATTGTTCTGATGTGTTGAGGTGGATTTGATAAATGTAATTTCCATGCTGGTGGATCTGAACGATAGCTACATAAAATCATAGAGTTAGAAGGGACCTCCAGGATCATCTAGTCCAGCCCCCTGCACAGTGCAGGAAATTCACAACTACCTCCCCCACTCCCAGTGATCTCCGTGCACAGAAGATTGGACCCCCCTCCCCCCGGATCCCTGGCCAAACTGGCCTGGAGAAAATTGCTTCCTGAAAATTGCTTCCTGACATACTTCATATAGATTCTTTTGGACCACATACTTAAACACATGTGTTTGCTGCTGAGCTTGTAGCTGTTTTGTTTTTGGGTTTTTTTTTATAAAACAAAGCAGTTAGCTTGCACTGAACTGCTGCCTGGGTGCATGAAGATGGCATGGGCAGTCACCTTCCCTTTGCCTCCATCTGCGCACTGCAGAGATATGGCACAAATGGATAAGCTGGCCTGTGGCCACGAGAATTTTCATCTAGAGTGACTTTTCTGCTCCAGGCAAAAGCAACGGGTGACATTTCAAAAATGCCCCTATGATTCATTGTTGGTTCCAAGGTCTACTGATGCAATTCTGGGGGTGTGGATTTATTGTAGTTGCTTGGAAAGGCCAAGTAGCAAAGTTCAGCTAAACATAAGGAAGCTGTAACATGAGCAAACTCCGTTCCTGCTCTTTTTCGCAAATATTGAGTTACAGGATTTTATCCCAGAACTTGTCCGGCAATAGTGGCTAAGGTTAACGGTGTAGATCTCTGATTCTGTATCGGTAGTGGGTGGGATGTACTTTTACTGGCCCTGATCTATCTTTTTTCCTCTGTCCGCAGTATGGCATGCTCTTAACCCTCATCTTCCTGGTCGTGCTGGTGGCGGCCATTGTGGGCTTTGTTTTCAGACACGAGGTGAGGGGTTTTATTTCTTGGGGACATCGTGTGCTGGGCTTTGGGAATGTTAGCTTGCTTTTCTTCCTCCCAAATGCATGCAGCAGGATGTGTGGTTGTTTTCTCAGAAATGGGGGAATCTTTGCTGTTGATGCCAATATTAACATCCTAATTTTAGCATTCCGTCTCTGAGCGTAGCTGTCAAGATCTGAAATGCAGAAAAGGTGGGATATGAAAACTTTCAAATCATAGAACAACTTCTCTGTTTCAGCCAAACTATGGAAAATATATATTTTTTTCTTGGCTAAATAAGGCTCAGTTTGGTATCCCTGCAAACTGGATTGTCGTTCAGAGTACTTTTCTGTAGTTGCCTTTTCATCAATACCACAATGTGGGAACTGGGATGGTAGCGTTTGACTCTGTAGTCCGTACAAAGTGTGCTGTAGGTGAAGGAAATTGTCTTCCTTTGAAGAACAGGGAGTTCAAGAATGCATTACATGGGTATTTAAGTTTACTGGCTTTGATCCTAATCTCTGCCTATGGACTTCTGCTCACAAAATGGAGCTTTGCCATTTTCCCACCGCAGCTGCTTGTGTGGCCAGTGTTTAGGGTTGCCAAGTCTATCTTTGCTGGGAGCGGGGGGGCTCCCGGCCGGTGTCTTGTGCACGCGCGCACCGCACGCACGTCACCCGGAAGTGACGGGAGGACGCCAGGCACGCTGGGGGCGGGGCCACGGCCATACAAGGGAAAACCATAGAGTTTTCCCTCTGAGGGTCGT